TAATCTGAAAGACCCCTACTAGGAAGTGCGTCTCCTAATGGATAAAACTTCAATGACTCCAACTAGGACGTGTGTCTCCTATGGATGAATTAAATGACCAACATTAGGAAGTGCGTCTCCTAAAATAAAAATATAACTTGAAATATCCAGACTAGGAAGTGCATCTCCTAGGGGTAAAATCTCAATTTAGGAAGTGCATCTCCTAAAACAAAATATAACTTGAAAGGCCTAGACTAGGAAATGCTTCTTCTAGGGGTGATGTGTGATCTTCTCAATAGCCTTTGCGCAAGCAGAATTGGGGCATTACACCTAAAAAATTCAAGCTTTGTTATGAACATAGCCTTCATCCCTGTTTCAGACAAAGAAAATTTGAGAGTTTAAAACACGGTGGTTGGTTTGTGGCCTTGACCTTGAAGGCGGCTGCTTCTGCACTTGCCAAGATAACTTTGATTTCAACTTGGAAGACCTTGCCTGTTATCAGCTACCCATTTTCTTTCAAACCTTATCACAGAAAACACCTCCTACTCCATTCGATCCCAATATCCTCTATCTGTTGCATTTTGCTCATGAATTGACATTTACCGAACCTTTGCATTTCACATGAATCCCAAAGCATGTTAACTGTTATCAACTGAGTACGCATATTGTTCTTTCCTGACTCATGCCACTTTGATGTGCTAGCCAAATCCGTTTTGTGCAATTGGAAAGCTGGTAGAAAATTTGAAATCATTTCTCACTTGTTCTGACCAAACAGACTCAAGAAGGGACTCATAACAAAACAAGAGGAACAAAATAAGGAGAAAAACGAGAAGAGATGGTATCTAACAAGAAAATATTTTTACCCGGGAAAAAGAACAAAGTAGAAACTAATCTGATTTGAAGGTCATCTCCACTGACCATGACATGCATTTTGGATTAAGCGGTCTGATCTGTCAAGCGAGTCTAATCTTCAACTCTTGTTATGCCTCTAAGCTGTGAAACTAGGCTTCAATGCTCCAATTATCATATCTGATCCACAATCCTCGGTCGACTTGTAGTGCCGTGAAGGGTTTTCACCATTAAGCCTCTCTCATTCTTTTTCTCAACTCACCGTCGCCTTACGGTGCCCATGAAGGTTTTCACCGATAAGACTCTTTCATTTTATCATATTCTCTCTTTATGCCGAGAACAAGGTATTACCCCTGATGTAGGAAGATCATACTTTTACCACACACTTGATTTGGCATCCTCAAAGATTGGTCGGAATATCTTTCTTTGGACCATAATGTAGGTTTTTGGACAGGGTTGGAAAGAAAATGTGGCATGAAGGCTCAAAATAATTTAAGATGAAAGGGTTCAAAATTACAACTTTTAGAATCAGATCTTTTGGCCAAAATTAAAACTTCTGCCCCAGTTTCTTGGAGTTTGGAGAATTTTATTATTATTATTTTTTTTTGTTTTGATGGATTTCTAAGAAAATCTGCCCCACTATTGACTTCGGGGGACTATGAAATATTTTATTTGGTGTGACCAAACTGTAAGACTGCCTACGTATCTTGAGGTAACAAGAATCAGGTCGAACGTAGTTCAAAAGACAAAGTTGTTGTTTTTTCTTTTCCTTCTCTCTTTTTTTTCTTTTTCCTCCTTTTTTGTTCTTTTCTCTTTTTTTTCTTTTTTCTTTTCCTTTTTTTTCTTCTTTTTCTTTTTTCTTTTCCTTTTCTAGTTCCTAACTCTATTTCTGATTCCAAAAGAGGGATATGAAACAAAAAATTAGGGCTCAAAATGGGTAGAAAAGGATAAAAGTGTTTGGATAGTAGAATAAAATGTCTTCGTGATACCAAACTTAAAAATGTCAAGTACAAACATGCAATTGAAGATAAGCAAACAAATCACACATAGTATCTATTGATGGCATCAACACAAACAAAAAGTGTCAATGGGCAATACCTTTGTCCCAATGAATGACCCTTGTTAGTTCGAAGCAGACTTGACTCAACTTTATCTTGATGTGGAAGAATGCATTTCAGCACAAACTAATTTACCTCAAACTGTTTGAGAGACATTTCCTTGTCGCATGCTCTTATCAACCTCTTAAGTTCCCAGACTTACTGCCTCAGTTTCACTCAATTCAAAGTTCAGGTCATCTCAGAATGCGTGAATCTTTAATTGTTTCCTCAAACGCATCCTTTTATCATATTCAAAACTGTGCCATTGTTTCATGATTAGACTAACTTTCAAGATCAGGCTAAGAATTATGCGTGCATGTCATGTCACTAGAGTCGGCATGAAAAGAACTATAAAAGTAAAATGACCTAAACAAAAACTGACTAGAACTAATAGAAAATAGGAGATTGTATTAGACAGATAATGAAAAGGGTTTGAATAAGACAAGCAAAATAGACATGGATTACAACTCTGGAACAACCCTAAATAATACTAAATGAGTTACTACAACTAAACGAACTAGACAAAATAAGAAGAAGAAGAGTTTGAGCCACAAGAGAATATCCGGATTACAACCCGGAAATAACCGGGACAAACAAAAATGACAACAAAATAAACCACCAAAACTCCTCCCGAGGTAGCCAAGAAAGGAGTGTATTTCCAATTACCAAGCTCGATATCTTAGCCACTGGGTTGCACATCAAAATTACTGGGACTTTCACCAATTTCAATATCATTAACTTCAGTCAGCAAGTTCCCAAGAGGATTCTCATACTCCCTGTCACCACGCATCTTCCCCACAAAGTGTGCATCATCATGTGCAGGTAAAGGATTATGTGCAATTTTCTGGGTGTCATTATCCTGGACCGCAATTATCCCTTCTTGAATCATTCTTTCTATCTCCCTTTTCAAAGTACAACAATCTTCAATGCTACGCCCTTGGGCATTAGAGTGGTACATGCACCGTACAGTAGGATCAAAACCTTTTGCATGTGGGTCCGGAGTATAGCCGAGGAGCGGCTCAATCGGGCCAGACTGTTTTAGCTTTTCAAACAAGCTTGTGTAGGATTCTCCGATTGGCGTGAAACTATTTCTTTACCTTTGTTCCCCTCTATGCCCCTATTTCCTAGGGTTGTTGGGTGCTCGAAAATGTTGGGAAGGCGAAAGAGTATTATGCGGTGCTGGTGCTCGCCATAAGGAGTCACCTAGTTGTTGGACAGAGGTCCGGACATTGTTAGGAGGATAGTACTGAGGTGGATTATGTGGAGCTCAGGGATAGGTTTGGGGTTGGGGTTGAGGCCGAGTATATTGGTGAGGCGGACCCGTTGGGCCATGTCGTGATCCTGAGACAACCATGGCAACATCATCATGTTCCTTCTGACCCAACAAACTTCCTATGTCGTTCTGAATTGCTTGTGTTGTGGCTTTTAAGGCAGAATAGCTCATGATCTTGCTTGACTTCAGTCCTTCTTCCACCATTTCTCCCATCTTTACCACATCATTGAAAGGCTTGCCAATGGCTGAGATCAAATGGCCGAAGTAAGTAGGCTCCAGGGCTTGAAAAAAGTATTCAACCATCTCATCTTCTTCCATAGGAGGATTGACACATGCTGCTTGCTCTCTCCATCGAAACCTATATTCTCTAAAGCTTTCACTGGGCTTCTTTTCTACCTTGGTCATAGATAGGTGATCTGGGACAATGTTTGTATTGTACTGGAAATGTTGGGCGAAGGCCTGAGCCATATATCGTCCCATGTGTACCACTTGCTGACTTCCTGGCGGGTGTACCATTCTAGAGCCGCCCCACTCAAACTTTGGCTTAAGTACGCCATCAGTAATTCATCTTTTCCCCCGGTGCCTCTCATTTTACTGTAATAACCTCTCAGGTGAGCTACAGGATCCCGATGTCCATCATATAAGTACAACTTGGGCATCTTGAACCCGGCAGGCAGCTGGACATCAGGGAACAAACACAAATCCTTATAACCCACACTTACCTGGCTTCCTAACCCTTACATATTTCTCAATGATTGCTTCAGACTCTTTACTTTCCTAAATATCTCCTCTTGCTCCGCGTTCTTGGGTGGTTTCTCAGTTTCAACATTAGGCTCAAAGTGAGGGGTGTATGAGTAAGGATCCGAAATTTTGAAGGTTGGTTCTGGAGCATAGTATTGAGTATCTGGAGCTTGGAATGCGGGCTTACTAGAGGATCGATGGAGGGTAGCTTGTGGAGGGGGTACAAAAATAGGAGCAGATATATGAGCAGGGTATGAGTTCGTTTTGGCTGGTCGAGCATGGAAAGTTTGGGAGGAAGTGCCTTGGTAATTGTGGTAAGGGGTAAAGCCTTTGAGGGGAAAGATCGACGGTATTGGGCATCCGGGCTTGGGACAGTGGTGGAATGAAGGCATGGTTTTCTGTATAGTTGGTAGGGAATGAAGGTGGAGGATGCCCCCTGATCTAAGATTGATACATTTCTGTCATCTGCTGTTTCAACCTTTGGACCTCTCCTTTCAATTCAGACTCCAACTCCATAAACTCCCTCGACGGGTCAACAACTTATGTGTTCAAGTCTTTGCTAGCCATGTCTACCTTGCTCTTTGACCTTGTGTTGTACAGATGACTCGCAAAAGTGCCACAAACTAACCACTCTCTGTTATGATAACGATGAAAGTAACAAAGGGGAGCAAAACAAAGTCAACAGGTTAGCGTTAGAACATTTATCAGATAGAAATATCACATTGCGTGCAATGCCCTAGCAACAATTAATGGTTCTAAAATGGTTTCGAGGGTCAAAATATCATTTGGCATCATCCCAGTTTCACTCTTCTTGCCCCATTTCCTTCTTCATTTTCCTTTCTAACATTGTTTGGTTTTTCATTTCTTTCCCTCTCTTTTCTTTCTGATTATCGCTCTTTTCTTTCCTATCATTTCTCACGTCCCACAACTTCATTCTTTTTTTTCTTTTCTTTTTTTTTCCTCTTTTTTTAATGGTGATTCGATCGAACCCTATGTAGGTTGCCTACGTATCATGTCCCTCATGAATCAGATCAAGCGTAGTTCTCGAAAAATAATGGACAAATAAACTAAAAATAAAAATCATTTTGAATTTTTCATTTCTATTTTTTTTCAAATACAAATGGAAAGTGCGATGATAAAAGACTTGACAAAATCTTATACCACCTAAAAGACTCAAAACTACCAGACATGACTACAAAGGGAAAGACAAACATAAAAACAGACTCATAATATAAAAAGGCTCCTTAAGCAGCTCCTGAATGCAATGGTCCTGAGGTAACTGTCATGCTCGAGTCCTGGTAAATGAATGCACACCTGAATGAGAAAAATAATACCAAATAGATCAATGTCTCAAGACACTTTGCGACACCACAACACTTCTTATTGGACACATGCAAGACACGATTGTGCTATTTTTGAAAAATGGCTTACGTGGCCAAGGGTGACTATTAATGCAAACTCAATAAGATTGATATCTAAGACATGGAAATACCTCACTAAGGCTTATATGGATTCAAATTACCAATAATCATGGCCCAAAATTAATTTGCAGAAATGACCCATTTTGCAAAAGCGGCCAATATGGTCAGAAGTGGCTAAAGAAGCAAACTCAATAAGGACGGGCCTTAACGTGATATGACACCTAGTTGTGGACTCAAGATTCTAAGACATGGGTCATTGAACCACTTTTGCGAAAATGACCCCATTTTGCAAGAATGGCCGATGTGGCCAAAAGTGGCAAAGATTGTTATAGACTGAAACTTTTCTTCAATGATGGTCAAGGTCCGGCTTGCCAACAATCACCTTTTCTTTGTTTGTTTTTGCGCCGCAAGAGCGTCCTTCCTTTCCCAAACCATTCTTGCAATATCAAAATCATGTTCTGCTTTTAAGGGTTGGGTGAAAGTGATTGGATTTTGTGAGGTAGATGGAAAAGTAGAAAAGGTGTAGTCTAATTTAGGTGGGGAATTTACTTGTGGAGACATAGGGAAGAAGGTAGGTTTTGAGGGGAAAACTGGGGTCTTTTGTGGCTCAAAGTGGTCATTTCTCAAAAGCTGAATTTGTTCTCTGATAGAAATCATCTCCTTTTGTTGTTGTTGGAAAAATTGAAAAAGTGAAGTTCCTGGAGGACAAATCTCGTATTGTAAATTTGCCAACCTCAGTTCCAAGGTTTTGATTAGTCCGGCATGGTGAGACGATGTTTGCTCCATCTTTTTCTCAATTGTTTCCACTTTGCTCATCATTTTGTTTTGTGTATGGGCCACGTTTTTTATGGTGTTGCCAATGTTGTTCAACACCTTGTTTTGGCAGATGGAGTTTTCTGATTGTCAGTTCATTGTTGCTTCGATGTCACTTATTGGAGGGTTTTCTCCAGTAGGTAGCACTATGTTTCTCTTGAGAATTTTTGGAGCATGGATTATACCCTCCTTTTCAAAAGGTTGGAGTGAAGGAAAATCTAGGGTATGACTGGAGCTTGAAGGACTTAGCATGAATATATATGGTTGTGTGGGATTTGTGGGTTTTTGAGTTGGTGAAGTTTCAGGTTCAGGTGGCTTTTTGGATTCTGGAGTATGAGCTAATGGTGATTTGGGTTTGGGTGTGGTTTCACTATCCTCCCAGCTTGGAGTGAATTTTGCTGGTAATTTTGGCCATTCCTGGGGTTCGTAACTGACAAGAAATTCATATTTACCTGGACGACTTAATGAGCCAATTGAAGCCAAATTCAACTGGAATGGACATTAAAACTGAGAGGACACCTTGTCGTGGACTTAAGGCTCTAAGACATGGGATAACAAACTACTTTGAGAAAATAGCCATATTTCGCAAAAAGGCCGATGTGGCGAAAAGTGTCTAGACATGCAAGATTTGGCTAAGACCTCGTGAAGCCAAGAACCTAAGACTTACTAGGGAGACCGAACCCTATGTGGGTTGCCTACATATCCCCCCTCGAAAGATGAGAATCAGGTATGCGTAGTTTGGAAAGATTGGACATGGGAGAAAGCTTTTTTTAAAAAATATAACTAATTTGGAGAAACTATATTTTTTTTTGTCTTTTTGAAAGATGATGGAGAATGTAAAATCTTTTGTATTTTCTTTTTTATCTCTTTTTTTTATTTTCTTTTTGAAAAATGATGGAAAAGTGCAAGATCTTTTTGGATTTTTCATTTTCAATTGTTTTTTGATTTTTAAAATGATGGGAAAGTGTAGAATCTTTTTGGATTTTTATTTTATTTCTTTTTTGATTTTTTTTGAAAAGGTTGAGAAAGAAAAATATAACTAGGCCCTACTTGCTTCATTTTTTACCCTTCTTTCCCAAGCATCGGTCTGTCAAATGACTTTTTTACCCTCAAAGATGCAACATGTATCACATAGGGATGATTGAATGTCTTTTTGGGCCATAAGACCATTTATTGATAAAATTTAGATAGGCTTCCTACAAAGGGACACGGTACTTGGGACCGAGCCTTGNTCCGACGGCCCCCCCTCCTAAATTAAGGGTGACTCAACAAAGAGTTTGTGCATGCGACGCGTACTCCGAGACTTGTTGCAAAAAAAAGACTCATGGTTATGCAAATGATGACAGTTTATAAAGTAGTAACACATTAAGAAAAGCGATAAACAAATAACCAACAAAACAAGGAAATAAGACAAACAAAGCAAATAAACAAAACAAACACCTCAACGGAATATCCTAAAATCCAACACGATCAAGTACCAGCTCAAACCTGCAAGTCCCCAGCGGAGTCGCCAGAGATGTCACACCCTTTTTTTTACCAACTCACTAACCCCTCTTAAAATTAATAAAAGAGATTTTTGAAGCTCAAAAGGGATTTCAATATTGAAAATTACAAAATTGTATTCAAAAGGAAATTACCTAGAGTCGCCACCTGACATTGGTTTCAGTGTGTCAGGTCACCGTTTTTAAAAAAAATAATTTTTCCTTTAAAACACTTTAGACTCCAAAATTAAGTCTGCACCAGAGATTCAGGTAAGGGGGTTCATTTGACTCGGGGAGAAGGCGTTAGGCACTCCCCAAGTCCTGTAACTAGTATGGTTACGTACATGATCAAGTTGACTTTTAAAATATTCAATTTAAGGTAAAAACACATAAAAAGGAAAGTAAATACAAAGAGGCTCGAGGTCGTCCCCACCTAATAAAAGAAAATAGTAAAAGGAAAAGTAAAATAAGAACAAAAGTACTACGAGTTCGCTTTCGGCCTCCAATTACAGAATACTACGGGGCATTCTCCGGAATAAAATGTATACAAATATTTTGGGGCATTCCCTAGATAAATGCAACTAAGGAAATGACCTCTCACCTCAAATTAAACAAAACAAAATCCTAAAGTTTGCCTATCCAAATATGGTCGGCCTAAACATGCTCTTATCGATTTCAAGCAGACAAGATAAGACAATTAACGTGATAAATTTAATTTCTCATTCTATATGCCCAAAACCCCATCTTCAAAACAACGAAATTCTACTCAATCTACTTACACATGTTAAGGTAATTCTTTTGTCATCTGAATGGTAACTGAATCATGGAACATTTAATAAAGCAATATGACAAGGACAAAACCAAAAGGTTCATTTCAGTCATTAAAACAACTGAATATAAGTTACATGAAAAAGCACAAAACAATATATAACAGAACAAAAAAACACACTAATATTACTAAGGTGTCACAAACGAAAAAAATGAAACGTTAACTCAAAAGTTCAACAAACAGAAGCATGTAATTAGGCCAAAATAGTAAAAGAAAGGGGAGAAATAGACCTCGTTAAATCTGAAATTGGATTGTTTGATAGTTTGAAAAAATGCTAAGCGACGGTACCGCGAACAATCTATCCACCGGAAGCCTTTGCCGGAAACCTCATACTATAACCTTCGGCGACCTCGACACTCGCCGAAAAACTCAAATCTCTTGAACCGACTCAAAATTCTAGCCAAACTTCCTGGCGAAGTCCCCATAGTTATAGTATCCTTTTCAAGTACTGGAACGAGACTTTCTGTATTCGTCTTTAATTTGAGTCCACCTTGAAGATGTCGATGGGAAATGCTACTGGTTCTTTGGTTCGAAATGGGGAGTGGCGTTAGGGTGTCTGAAGGTTGGTGTTACGGCTGAAGGGTTGGTGGGTTGGTCGGCGGCGTGGAGTTGGGTGGTGTCCAAGCTGCTGATGGCTTGGAGTCTTTTTGGGTTTTATGAGGGTGGCCAGCGAGTTTTGGTGGTTATTTGGCTATTTCTATGGTGAAGGAGATGATGGGGCGGCGGAGGCGATTTTAGGTGAAGGGAGTTCGGCTGAAAAAGGTCCTGCCACTGTTGCTTTTTCTTTAGGGGGGGCTGCTAGGTTTTGGGGTGTGTCCAATTAGGGTTCAGCTTGGGTGTTCTAAGGTTAAGAAGAAGATAAAAAAGGGTCTAGTCTTTTATATACTAGAGTAAGATAAAAACATGGGCTAGGTTTGAATTGGGCTCTAAATCTACTAAATTGGGCTAAGAAAAATGCTGAAAATTTATTTTATTTTAAAAAAAATACCTATAACAATGTATAAAATAACTTTTAATTGATTTTAGTAAACTATTATATTTAAAATAAAAATTAAAATTAAAGTTGAAACTATTTTTGGTATTTTTAAAGATTATATTAAAATAGAATAGGTTCAAAGTAACATATCCTTCTAAAAATATCTAATACATGAATTAAATAGAGAAATATGGAACTATTTTTGTATTTTTTAATTTTTTGATAAAAATAATGTAAAAGAGTCAAAAATAGTTGAAATAACTATATTAGACCTAAACTAAGTATTTAAATGCTAAAATATGTAAAATCTTGGGGAGGGTCAAAAATCACATGTCTACAGCCACTTCTTTCCCTTTTCCCCTCACATCACTACTCACACCCTCACTCTCCTTTTCCTTTTCACTTTTATTTTTACCTCCCCTGCAGGTGGGAGTTCTTGACTGGCCAACACTCAGCCCCATACAGCATAGCCGATCGAACCACCACTCTATAAAACTTACCCTTAAGTCTTAGCGGCACATTCTTATCACACAAAATACCAGAAGCGAGCCTCCACTTCATCCATCCTGTTCCGATACGATGTGCAACATCTTCGTCAATCTCTCTGTTACCCTGGATAATAGACCCAAGATACTTAAAACTAGTTATCCCCAAGAGAGTGAGTTTTAAGTTTAATTCAGGCAGAAAACATAGGCTATATTTTGAGCATTATCAGTTCAATTATGTTGCATGTATGTCAAAATCTGAATACAAATACTTGAAACCATCAACATTGTTGTTGATGACAACTTTGCTCTGCAAGGAAAAGCCAAAGTAGGAGTGACATTTTTGTTTGTTAGTGATAACAACATGCCAATTGGGATCATTATGGACCAAACAAGCAGTCGAATTTTCAGACGTCTAATTTTATTACTCTAATAATAAAGACATTATCATTATTAGCTGACTATTAAACATTCGATTTCTAATGCCATGTGCAGGCTATCGCCTCTCCATCAGCGAGGAAGATGATCAGACGCAACTCAATAACCTAAATTTTGGTTTTTCGGTTTAACCGAAAACTGAAATACAAAAACCGTAAACTGCACCAAAAAACCAAAAATTAATAATTTTAAAATCGTGCACCGACCGAAAAACCGATTAAACAGAAAACTAAAAAGCGAAATTCACGGTTCGACCGGTTTTTTCGGTTCGATCAGTATTATGCCCACCCCTACTGAAAACAATGTCAGATCTGCTAGCAGTAAGTTACAGAAGTGAACCAATCATACCCCTATACAACTTCTGATCAACAGATGAACCAGGTACATCTATGTCCAATTTTGTGGCTGTTGCAATAGGAGTGTCTATTTTCTTTGACTCTTCCATTTTAAACTTCTTAATTAACTCTTTTGCATATTTCTGCTGATGGATCATGGTTCTATTTGAGTTTTGTTTAATTTATAAGCCTAAGAAGAAATTAAGTTCACCCATCATACTCATTTCAAATTCACTCCCCATAAGTTTAGCAAATTCCTTATTTAGTTTTTCAGTGGTTGCCCCAAATATTATGTCATCAACATATATTTGTACTACAAGAAGATCCTTACCTTTTTCCCTCAAGAATAGAGTGCTATCAATTTTACCTCGCTTGTAGCCATGTTCAAGCAGGAATTTGGATAGTCGTTCATACCATGCTCTAGGAGTCTGCTTGAGTCCATAGAGTGCCTTGTCTAGTTTGTATACATGATCCGGACACTCCTTGCTTTCAAACCCTGCAGGTAGTTTGACAAACACTTCTTCCTTTAGGTAGGCATTTAGGAAAGCACTCTTGATGTCCATCTGGTGAAGAGTAAATTCCATGTATGCAACAAAGGTTATGAGGACTCTTATTGCTTCCAACCTTACAACTGGAGCAAAGGTCTCATCATAGTCTATTCCTTCCTCTTGGCCATAACTTTTAACCACCAACCTTGCCTTGTTTATTGTAACAGTTCCATCTTCATCAAGTTTGTTTCTGAAGACCCATTTAGTGCCAATTACTGATATGTCCTTGGGTCTTGGAACCAGATGCCAAACTTGACTCCTTTCAAATTGATTGAGTTCATCTTGCATTACATTTATCCAGTCTGCATCCTGCAAAGCCTCAACAACATTTTTAGGTTCAATAAGAGATAGGAAAGCATCAAAAGTACAAAGATTCTTTAATTGAGATCTAGTTTTAATTCCAGAAGTTGGATCAGTAATTATGTTCTCAATGGGATGAGAACTTTGATACTTGTAAGGTTTCACAACCAACTGGTTTCTATTTGATGTTTCTCCCATTCTGTTGTTGAGGAACATGCTCATGGACAGGTTCCATTTGGGAATGAGATTCAGTTCTCCTTTGTTCAGTTCCCCCTGTCAGGTTGCCCTGGATGGAAAAACATATTCCATCACCTGTTCCTTCTTCTAGTGTAGCTTCAGCTTGGGCTGTGACTTCATTTAAACCTTTTACCAGCCCAATAGCTTCATCTTCATGTTCCTGTCTCTCAGAAAGAATGTTAGTTTCATCAAAAACTACATGTACATTTTCTTCTACACACATAGTTCTTTTGTTGTATACTTTATAAGCTTTGATATATGAATAATATCCCAAGAATACTCCCTCATCACTTCTAGGATCAAACTTACCTAGGGAGTCCTTTCCATTGTTGTGCACAAAGAACTTGCATCCAAATGCCCTAAGATGTGATATATTTGGTTTTCTGCCTTTAAGTAACTCATAGGGAGTCTTATCTACAAGAGGTCTAGTCATGCATTATTAATGATGTAACATGCAGTGTTTACAGCTTCTGCCCAGAAGCTATGGGGCAGTTTACTAGAAAGAAGCATAGTCCTAGCCATATCTTCAAGTGTCATATTCTTTCTTTCAACTACTCCATTTTGTTGTGGAGTCCTAGGGGCAGAAAAATTATGATCTATGGCATGCTCATCACAAAATTCAGCGAACTTAGCATTTTCAAATTCAGTTCCATGATAAGACCTAATTAATGCAAGTTAATTACCTAGTTATTTTTGAGTTTTTGTAACAAAAGAAGTAAACATGTCAAATGCTTCATCCTTAGATGCTAAAAATAATGTCCAAGTAAACCTAGAGTAATCATCAACAAGCACCATCACATATTGTGAGCACGTGATTTTTGTTCTATGAGAATTACTCCCAAAAAATTCAAAATAAAATAATTTTTTCCGTTGTTTGCAATTTTGTGGATTTTTATAGTATTTTCTGTCATTATTTGCATGAGTTCGTGCATGTTTGTATGTTTAAATAAATGAAAAATACAAAAAAAAATTATATTGCATTTGCATTTAGGATTTAATTTTATAATTTTTTTAGTTGAGTAGTAAATTACTTATTTTTACAAAAATGAAAGAATAAAAAAATAACGTATTTTGCATTTTTAAAGTGTTTAATGTCAAATTATGTGATTATTTTATTTTTAGTATTTAATTACTTGTGATAAATATTATTTAAAGTGGACTAGTATTTTAAGTCAATTTTTTNCGTCTCTTCGGAGACCAAGAACATGCACCACCGCACGCCGCCCTCTTACGCCCACCGGAAATCGCCTCACGGCGGTTCCGGTGGCCCAAACAACCCCAAATTAACATCAGTGATTCTCCTTCACCTCATTATCTCAAATCCTCAAACCGTTCCTTTCGAATCACAGCCGAAATCGTCGAATCTTCGATCGAAATTTGAACCCCGAACACTAGTTTACCCAATCGACCCCAAACTGACACCCCATAACCTCCTTGACCTCCTCATACCCAATACATATCTGGTTTCCCTCGAATTTGTCTAAAATAGGTCGAATTTCAAATCTTGAGTTCCGATTCTAAAAGTCAGAGTTAAACACAAGAATTGTTGATGATTTCAGGGCCGATTTCGTCACAAAATGGTGTTAATCATTTGTTCTAACAAAGAACAAATGACTAACATCATTTGGCGATGAAGTCGGAAAAATTCGAGTGCCAAATGAACCCGTTGAGTTGGTGAGTATCCAGTACTACTTCTTTTCTTCTCTTGTTATTAATCCACTTCTGCCCCGTCTTCTTCTCTTCTTAGGTTTGAATTAGGTTTAAAATTGTGAATTGTCCATTCGATTGTCTTTGGTGCATATTCATGTATGTCGTTAATTAATTTAATAGTGATTTTGATTTTTCAATCTAGTTAAAGCTTTTAGTCTTTTGTTTACTATAATTGTGGTACTTCGGAACTTAGGGGGGATGAATAACAGAAGCCTTGAGGGTAATTTGGGCAGGGAAACCTGTCAATAATTAATTAGAGGGCTTCTCAATAGTGGTAGGGTAGAGGAAATACACTACTGAATTAATTATAAGCACTAAGTAGTGGAATGAATTAAAAAGGAAAAAGGGACTGGTAATGGCTAGCTTAATGCCCCTTTAGGAGCTGGAAATCAGAGAACATGGGGGATATAATTAAAAGGCTAAAAGATACAGGTGTAAAAGGGTATACAGTCTGGAAAGGGGGGAGGAACAGAATTAAGAAAGGACTGAATACACCTTAAGAGGGGGACACTCACTGATATATAAAGGGAGAAGAGAGTTGGAGAGCGGAAAAAAGATTGAAAGGAGAACATTCTGAGAGGGAAATAGGGAGAACAGATAGACCAAAAAGAGGGAGACTAAGAGAAAAATCCGGAAAAAAAAAAAGAAAATAGCTGAAAATAGCTGAAAATTTTAGCACTATTCCATTGAGTTTGAATTTGCTAATCTGAAATTTTTCTCTCCTTGAATCAATTTCTTAACTGTTTGGATTTAGAAATAGTTTGAGTTTCACACATTTATCTTGGATGTCGAGTTTGTTGGTTTTACTGTGAATCTGAA